CCGTGCGGCCAGGGCGCCCCCCGCCCCGCGACCCTCAACCCGTGCCCCCTCCACGCGCCGCCGCGCCCGGCTCCCGCCTCCCCTCCCCGGAGTCTCGCCAGCCCCTTCTTGCAGCCGCCTCTGGAGGACCGGGTCCACCGCGGGTCACCATGCCCAGCAAAACCAAGTACAACCTTGTGGACGATGGGCACGACCTGCGGATCCCCTTGCACAACGAGGACGCCTTCCAGCACGGCATCTGCTTCGAGGCCAAGGTGAGGGGGCCACGGGGAGGGTCCTGCCCGGGAGGGAGCATGTCTGAGTGGATGGGATGCACAGCCATCCTGGACGAAGAGCTGGTGGGTTAGGCTGATTTGGGGGCCTTTCTGTTAGGGAAGGTGACTTCCCCTCGGTGTAGAATTCCGCGGGCTCCTGCCCAGAACTGCTTAAAAGCAACTGGAAAGTTTGAGCGGTATTGCTTCACCCCCCTCCTCCCACCTGCAGACTCCCCTATCCTTACCCGCCTGGGACTGATCGAGTTACTTCCCGGGGCCCTCTTTCTGAGGAGGAGAGGCCAGTGGGTGAGCGCAGCCTGGACGTGGTTCTTAAGAATCAGGGAAGCTCTGGTGTTATTTACCTGCTAGGATCCCATGGGAGAGGTGCTTTCAGGAAGGTCTCTTAAAGGGGGAAATTCCCGCTTCCTGATTGAGGAAAAATAATACAGGGGTGTGTTTTTAGATTCTAGTTAACCAGGTCAGAGTCACTTCCTAAACGCCTGATTTGCCACGACTCCTTTGCAAGTGCCGGTCACTGAAGTGGGGGTTGGGTGTGGGGGAAAGCTGCCCATTTGCTAGTTTTGTGGCGTAATGTTTAGTTTCAGCAGCTAGTGGGGAACCGCTGCTGGAGAATTTAGCAGGGATGACTGGAATTTTCAGCGCTGAGGCCAGAGCCCCAGGTCTTGCGGGAGGGGGCGGAGCGGGAGCCTCCGTACTGGAGCATCAGTTGAGAATAAGGATGGCCCCAGTGATGCACTTCCCAGAGTGAGGAGTTCTGGTTTCTGAAATTACAGCTGGGGTTCGTGCTGCCAGTTACCTGGGGAAAGTGCTTCGGCTCTTCCTTCATGCCACTTGACCCCACCACTGTGACATAAAGACCCGGGGCGCTAACACCTACTGTGTGCCTGTCACTGATAAGTGACAGGAAGTATTGCCCCTCAAAGGAGGTTGTGTCTTGCTGGTTTTGGAACAGCAGTACTTTCGATGTGGAGACAATTTTACTCTTCGTTCCCTTTTTCTCCTTTATGACTGTGTAGATGCAGCGTGTTAGCACCTTGTGCAAGGATTATTCCATCAGGTGGCTATTCAATTTGTGACATCTTTTGAGTGTCTGATATGTGCCTAATGCGGTTAGTTATCTTAAGATTTTTTCCTTCTCATGGAGATGTGTGAATTGGTGAATCTTACCTTTTTTTTTTTCCCTGAATAACCTTCCCCCACCCATATTTGCTAGAGCTAGGAGGACACCCCCCTGCCCCCCCAGACATCGAAACCTGCGGTGAAATGCAGGGCTGAATTACTGGGTATGGCTAGGACCAGAGAGGGGCTGTAGCCAAGATCTTATCTTGATTCTCTCAGAATAGACCTGGATGGTCTAAGATGGGATGTTTGGGTTAAATTTTGTCTGGGCTTGTTGCTTTGGTGAGCAGATTTTTTAAAGTGTGAGTTTTTATCACAGTCATGATTTAGTTTTCTTGGACATACTAAATTGGAAAATTGGCTTTTGTCTTGTTTGGTTCACTAGTGCTCTGTTTTGCAAGAATGAGGGTAAGAAGAGAGATCAGCATTAAAGTGTTTTTAAGCCTTTTTATTCTTTTCTTACAGTCTCGGCATTTGGTCCCAACTAGGTCTCAAACCCTAGCATGCATAAGAATCACCAGGTGAGAGTATTAAAAAGTCTGATTCTTGCCACCCCCAATTCTAATTTGATGCCTCTGGGGGGAGCTGGGACTGTGTACCTTCAACGAGCATTCCGGGTGATTTAATGCAGGTGATTGGGACCAGACTGAGAAATACTGGTGTTGAGCCTTGCCTCCAACTTGCTGGATCTTACCCTCCCTTTCCCAACATGCAGTTTCTTTTCTAAGCGAATGTCTGGGGGCTGCGTGATATAGTTCCTATAGTAACTTCCCTGGATTCACACACAGTGGTGCTCAATAAGAGGAGGGGCAGCCACAGTTGGTCTAGGCAGTGTTCCCAATGCAGATCTGAGACGTGGGGGACCAAGGGTTCTGCTTGGAGAATGGCTAGGTAGAGAAGAAAGGACAGGGCTGACTTTGAGGACTGAGTCCTAACTCCCAGCTCTTGGTAACTGATGCTGGACACCAGCACATTCAAACCATGTCAGCCAAGATCTGAGTAGAGGTGGAAGCAGAAGCTTTTCTGTCTCATGTGTTCCCGGCAAGCCCCTCCTCTGACTGGTTTCCGCATCCCTCTAGAGCGGTGTCCATGGAACTGCACAATCACTGGGATTTCAGGGTTAAATCCACACCACACTCGCCCAGTGTTTCGGAAAAGCACAGGCTGTAAAATGTAAATGTGTTATTGCTGCCTCATCAGATAGCCTTGGAAAATGAGCCCGGGTCTTTCTCTCCCAAGGGCTGGCAGTTTTTCAGAATCAACATTGGATGGAATGACTCTTTGCATGGATGCTGCTCATTTTCGGGGTTCTGCAGAGATTGAAAGCCTGTGGCTGGGGTTGAAGGGCATCTGGGTGCCAGAGGTTCTGTGCACTCAAAAAAAAAAAAAAAACAACCCATGCATTTAATTATCAAGCAGAATCCTAGATGTTTTTCACCTGTAGTATTTCATGTACTTCTCACTGCTTCCCTAGAGTTGGGTCTCCTTATGTCTTATAAATGAGGATATAGGCTCAGGGAGGTTGTTGCTTGCTTTAGTGCACACAGCTGTGCATGGCAAAGCCAGGATTAAACCTGGGAGCTTTGACTTCAGACTCCTAAATCCAGTGCTTATTCATTTAATAATTTTTATGGAGTGTTCACTCTTTGTTGGGCAGTGGTCTGATTCACGGCTCACTGGTGGGCCTCAGGTTGCTGGCCTCTTGGACTCTGATGCAGGAAATTATTCAAACTTTTAATACTGGGCTGTTTCCCGATATCCCCTTGGGCTGGGAGCTGCTCCTAAGGGATACCCACTGTCCACGTTCAGCGTGGGCACCGGCTCGCTGATGGTTGCTGGTGGGTGGGTGCTAAAATCTCACTTGGCTTGAAAGCTTGTGTGGCCTCTCTGTATCTGCCTCTCCCTCTCCCAGAATGTCTTCCTGGTGGCCGGTGCCATCAACTGACTGTCTCTACTTGCTGGATGAGAAGGAGACTTCCAATGATGATGATGCAAAGGATAATAAGAATATTAATAACATAGTGATGCCTTACATTTGTAGGTGATTTTTGATTTGCGTGGGACTTGCACATACAAAGAATTTTCCTTGTATAGAAACAGGAGCATTAGTGTTATCTCCATTTTTCAGATGAAAAAATTGGGGATCAGAGAGATTAACGTGTCCAGAGTCACAGAAGTGATAAGATGATAAAATAATGCTTATAGCTGATATTTAGTGAGCACTTACTCTGAGCCAGGTATTGTTCTAGGTGCAGTCCCATTTAATCCTGGTCCGTGGTTCTTTCCTGGTCCTGAAGTGGTTGCTTCCTCTGTATTCATAGCACTCATTGCCTAGCTCATTCACTGATATCCTCATGTGTGGTACAGACTGGCAGAACTCGAAAGCACCTTAGCTCACATCATTTTACAGATGAGGAAATTGAGGTCCAGAGGGGAAGTCATTGACCCAAGGTCACATATCTAGATAAGAACAGATTCAGGACTTCTCTCTAGTTTCTTGGCTTCAAATTGGTTTCAGTTACCTATTACTGCTTCACAAACTACCTCCCAACTCAGTAGCTTAAAACAACATGATTTAATTTGCTCATCATTCGTGCGTCAAGAATTCAGGCAGGGCTTGGCTAGGTTGTTCTTCTGTTGCATGTGGTGTTGACTGGATCACTCACTTGGCTTCATTCAGCTATGGCTGGGCTGGAAGGTTCTAGAAGGCTTCACTCACATGGCTAGTGCCTTGGTGGTCCTCCATGTGGCGGTCCTCTCCACTGGGTGGCTTGGATTTCCTCATAGCATGGTGACCCTTTTACTTGGCAGCCGGCTTTCAAGAAGGAGTGTTCCAAACAGTGAAGGCAGAAGCTCTTAAGGCCTGGCCTCCAAAGTTATACAGGGTCACCTCTGCCGCATTCTGTTGGTCAGATCAGGCCATAGGCTGGCTCAGATTCTAAGGGAGGAGAAGTAGATTTCACTTCTTGATGGGGAGTGTCAAGGTCACATTGCAAGAGTGCAAGTGGGATGAGAGAGATTGCCGAAGCTGTCTTTGGATCACAGTCTACCACAAAATTTTGTGTTCTGTCCCCTCTGCATATCCTTCTTCAACAACATTGAGTGTTGTTTGAGGACTTTGTCTCATGCTTCTGTGTATAATCCCCTCCCCCGACATTGGGTACATACATAGCTGGTAATGACAAATTATTTGTCAAGTGGAAGAAATGATCAACTGTAGAAATCTGAAAGCAGTCAATATATTGTCATATTGCTGAGTGATTTTGCAGTTTGTTCGCTCTTGGTCAAATCTGAACTGAATTCTCTGGCCATATTTCCCTCCTTGCTAAATGGCTTCACTGGTTGATGGTTTCCATGATGTGGATTTTAGAGAATTTCCAATAACCCCACATGGCAGGCTGCCTGTGGATGCCTTTTGAAAACACTGACTTGAGGGCTTCCAGATTAGGACATTACCTACATTGGCTTACCATAAATGGGATACTCTAACTCAAACCTGAGCTTGTAATACATGGTAAAGAGCTCTTAGAACCTACTCCGCTATATCCTGGGTGTGTGCACTCCCCACCCCACCTCAGACTGAGGGTCCTGTCTTCCAGGATTCTGGACCAGTAAGGGGTTCAGATAGAGGGCCTGGTGTATTCACTGATGTCATCATTGAAGTGGAGGTTTATTTCACCTTATTGTGTGTTTGCCCACATGCTTTTAAATCTGTTGTTATCTTCTGCCCAGACCACTTTTGGGGTAAGGTGAGTCTCAAAGATATAGTGCTGTTCTGAAATGATTCCTGTTTTTATTTACTCTTATTTTGCTCTCAGATGTCCCAGAATGTTCTTCCACAGCTGGTGTTTGGGATTTGA